TTTCTTTGCTTATCAGTTGTTAAAAATGTCGTGGTTAGCACTGCGGAACTAGTAATAGGCGACAAGAGAAATCTGGAGTCTTGTTGAAAGTTCATAGTCGGGGGATGAAACCTTAGTGTGGAACGAGTGCACTGACTAGTATTTCAATGCGGTGCTGTTTATTCCAAGGTACCATTACAGCGGCCTTGAAAGGAAAATACCAGAAAAAGTCCCCTTGTCTCAAAAGTTCAATGGGAAACAGTGGCAAATGAATAAGGCTTGGTTGTTGTCGCCGCTCTCTCGAGTCCGGTCACGTTCCTCCCTAAGAAGTGCTTCCGTTGGAGAAGCGCGACGTTCTTATAAATGTAAACGTCCTTTTTCAAACGAGGACGGCACGAAGGTTTTAAGGCAAGAAAGGATCTCTATTACAAGAATAAACGCTCGGACCTTGAGGAAAAAGACCGACTGCAAGCAGTGTTGACTGAGCACGCCACATGCGTCAGCTGACAGGGACATGTAAAGGGTATCATTCCGGAGCTAAAGTTATGTGGCGATTTTGTAGTAGATGAAACTCTAGACTCGAAAGAAAGAAGTCGAGTGTTTTCATTTAGTATTGTTTAGCATACTGCGTGTGTTGCATGTGGTCGAATGTATCTGCCTATATTTAATTTGACTGAAATTGTGTAACCATTCCAATCGAACTCCGAGAGTTGAGCAGTACTTTAACATGGAAGTGTTTCTGTTGCGTGTCCCTTCAAGCCACTACGAGTTGGTTCTAATTTGCTATTTTTTATGCTTTGAATGAAGCCGTAGTATGTGACCATTTAAATTAAGGATATCAGTACTTTTATGCCACGGTGAAGTTTTGAATTTATGGATAAACTCCTAGTGTGTGGCCTTTGAAATGAAAGCCATTGATCAGTCCACTTTCACGTGGTGCTATTTAATTTTCAATATCACTGGGGACGGCTTCTTTCTTCTATTTAACTTGTTTATGTACTTTAAAGACTTCCGTATATTATGATACGATGTTTCCTAAGTAATTGTTGTTTTTCAGTGATAAATTGCTTGTAATTGACTCATCTATTTTCGCGACCAGAATAGACCATGTTTAAGCTTTGAAAAACATCTCTTATCGTCTTTGTTTGGAGGATCTAGATGAAGATGCTGGAGTCTTAGTTCAGTTATATTTCAGCCCATTACTCAGCGAGTAGATCGCAGATCAGTCAACTGCCAGTTAAAAAAACGGATCATTTCTTAGATGACAATTTAAATTTTGACAAATTCTTAGCATGCTCAGCTTTCATTAAGCCCATCTGGACCCTCTGTTTTTAATTAGCTTCGTAAGAGATATATCTAGCATTACTGATGTCACCAACTGTAAATTAATGATAACGTGTCTTAAAAGCTTCAAACGGTTCAAGGTGACACTCTCTACGGGATTACCGCTTCCTTCTCGACACGCCCACCTACCGCCTTGCACAGAAACCCTTGCTTCGAACATTGCTGTTAGGATCGTCTCTTGCCTACAAAAAGAACGATTCTTTAACAAATCCTTTTGTTATGCATACGCTGTGTTAACAGCATCTTGTCCTATTCAAACTGTAACGCATGCATAGACTTTCTCAAAGACCTTTTTTTTTGCAGCAAGTCTACTGCATGTGCAAGGCGGTCTAAACATGGCAACTTGTACTTGAGGCCTCACCATAAATTCCGAATCTCTAATTTTCTTTCGTTTTAAAATAAAATTATTCTATATTCTGGTTTTCTACTTAGGTTGATTAAAAAGCTCTTCATTTAGAACTGGAGAAGACCTACAAAAACATCTTTGGATAAATTTTTCCGATACTTACCTGAGACCCTCAGGATGTGAACCTCTTTCGGCATACTCTCGCCATGCAGATGTAATCTTTGGGGCATGACCTCCTATCGCAACCAGAATGTATTGAATGCGGTTTTATCCACGCAAGGATATATGTAAATATAATGACCTGTTTTGATGTCTACGTGCTCACTTACAAGGGATGAATTTCGTTACTACAGGATTTTTGGTTACTTACTTCCCAACATGTTGATCTAATTTAGTTACCCATCAAAACAAGGACGATTGAAACAGAGCTGCTTGTCACACCAGTGAGTCTGAAAATCGTACCGTTACTCTCCGTGGCTCCAAAAGCTGATGATTATCTTGACAGCGAAGGTAAATCGTTTCTTGTTCGACTAATCAAATGGAAAATCAAACGTCGTTGCAGCCGACTTTGCGAAGTAATGAGACCATTGTACGATCCAACTGGACATCAGTAAGTGCATCACCAACGACCATTTTCGTGGGAGAAACAATTACAGCTCAGTTTCAAATTCCTAAACTTGTTCTTTATGGAGTTATCTTGACGCTGAGCATTCTTGGTAACGCGGCAGTTGTTTACATTATCTTGCAGTCTCGGCGAAGAATTCGTAAGACATCTTATGTCCTTTTGGTCCTTAACTTGGCCATCTGTGATGCAATTACACCCATCATAAGCATTCCTATCGACTGGGTTTTTGAGGAATATGACTACAGGTGGACTCTTGGAGCAGTCCTGTGTAAACTTCTTTGGCCTCTTCAGACAATGTTCTCCACTTCGTCAGCGCTCACTTTAGCTATGATTTGTTTTGACAGATACCGCGCAGTTGTCCACCCTTTCAAGGCACGCAGGGTGACAAAAACGCATATCAAGCACTGTATCTTCGCGATTCACTTCACGTCGTGTATATTCGTAATACCTTACGTCGTTGTTCTGGATCTGAAAGGAGATGACTGCGATGAGCATTGGCCATCTCCTGTCACCAGTTACAGAAAAGCCTACACTTTGATTCTCTTTCTTGTACAATACGGGATACCCCTTACTTTGATGGTAACTCTGCATAGCTTAGCATTAAAAACTCTTTGTGGTCAATCTAAGCATCTTAGAGAAGGAAGCACACACTCGAAGGCGTCCGAATCGATATCAAGTATGCAATTCAGAATTTCCGCTAGGAAGAAGATGCAGAACATTCACGTTACTAAAATGTTTGTTATGATTGTCATGGTGTTTGCACTGAGTATGTTTCCCAACCAAGTCTTATGGCTTTGGGTAGATTTTGGCAATGGTGGCAAAAATGAATACTTTGTTATCATATCAGCAGTTTGCAGGTTGTTCACGTATTCGAACAGTGTTCTTAATCCTGTTATTTATGGCTTTTACAGCCGGGAGTTGCGCTCTAGCAAGGCAAAACTCACGAGTACTACTACTTCCGCGGGAAGGAACCCAGGCATACATTCTTCAGGTTTTAGATACGCAGAACATAGATCTGCACATGACGCAGATAAAGCAGATTTAGTAAATCGCGGACAGCCTGACACAAGACACGAGAGAGCGATTCATTGCAAATTCCCCGCTACAGGCGAGCAACGTCTTTTGCCAAAATCTCTCTTAGGGTCTATCAAAAATCATCCACTCGCATTAAAAAAGGATTGCCATAGGAATGAAGCTGCCCAAGGTCCCATGAAACCGATTGAAAACTGTACAATCGCCCAAAATGGTGTTCTGCGGAGTCCATTAAGCCCTCTGCATAACAGCGAGTCGGCAGAAGGGATGCAAAATGTGTTTTCCATTCCTGATTACACACAAAGGCATTTTGATAACATTCGTGAAAGCAACTGTTGAGTTAAAACTGGCCCCTTGATTCTTAGGCTTTTAAACGAAATTACATGTAATTGCCATGTCAATGACAACTAGCAAGATGGCAATGGACTAATGGATAATTTCTACTTTCAACAGCTAATCCTCGTTAGTCGCGTACTCGTCCGGGATGATAGAAACAACAACCACCAACGTGTTGCTAACGAAACCAACCTTTACCTGTATGCTATGTGGATCATGGATCAATAAATCTATTAAGGGAACGATATACTCAACTAAAGAATTCCACAAATAGAGGATATTACATGGTCCCTTGGAGATAGGAGATTTCTCTTCGAGTACGAAGAGAAATTTTGTATCTCCAAGCGGCCATGTTATGTTCTATTTATTACATAAACACCAATGAAATACCAAGCCTTTCGCTGCGAAAAGCGCGACTCATTATATAACCATAGCAATGGTGATCCTTTTACTNAAAAAAAAAAATTGGCCACGAAAGTGAAGGTCTTAAGAACTCTTGTCAAGACTTTTGTGTCTTGTTTTACTATAGCAGTAAGCTATATTAGTCTACCAGTGTCATAATAATACCATCCCGGAATGGCCCTAAGACCTTAAACCTTTTTAAACTATGAAAGTTCATGTTTAACTTTTTAAAACGATGACAATTTATTTCTGCGATTTTTGTTAACCGTTAGGAAAATCAATTATCCGTTAGCCGTAAAAATAGCAACCACCCCATTGAGCAACTTAAAATAACCTTCCACATGCTGGTGACGCACACCACTTCTTGTTGCATTTGGATAGGATATCGACCTCGCTCAGTCCATTAACTGAACTGTCGGTCGCTCGTTAAAACTTCATAGCAATTACTTAAGTTCAAAAGGATTTCCTGAATATTTAAAAACGGAACAGATGCATCTTCTATCATTTCATGTGCAAAGATACAAGCAAATGAAAACCTTCTTTGTCGCTCTCTTGTATTATATTACACTGAGAGTGTGTGGTCAGGGTGTACTGATAACTCTCCGTATGGAAAGCAGATTTCAGGAAAAGGTTAAGTGTAGATTGTACTCGAGATTAGTTAGCTTAATTAAAATCAAGAGTCATTCTTGAAACGTGTCCCAAGAATTTTCCATGTGAAAGCTCTACAAGGCCTAAAATGACTTTCCAGAGAAAAACATCATGTAAAAGAAACTTATAATGCGTCGCTTATTAAGTTTAGTTTAAAATTCTAAAATTGAAGTATACATATATTTGAAAACTTCATTGATATTCAGATATCTGGGTCATCTCTATCAAGTTTGTTCTTATTCTGGTTATTTCTTTTCCCCGAAGATAGACAGGTTTTGCAGGGTCCGGGATGATGGACAACAAGTTAAATCAACTATGTAAAAATCTTTTTTTCCTTAACGTGCAGACTCCTCGTCATAAGTTCATACATTAAAGTAAAAGAACAAAACATATTTCTGCTGCACGAGGTAACATATTTACGATGCCAATTTTACTTAGTCAACTTGGCTTTTTTTTAAATAGAATCGACTGAAGAAGACACGAGGCGTCTGGGAGCTGTCTTACTTTTTGTTTTTGTGGTCAAGTAAAGGCCCTTGATGAGTAGGTCTGTGCTGGGAAAACAAACTGATCGTGCTGGTCCAATTTCACTGAAGGCTGACCTCGGGTCTTTGATCAGATCCGACAGTCAATTTCAAGGGTTCCTGCTCACGTGTGAGAAAAAACAAACAAACGAATGAACAAAAGTGCAAAGCAAAAAATAAACCAAACAGAACAAGGTACGTGAGCAGTTCTGGCGAAAAAGTCAATGTTCCGAAAGAAGAGAGTGGCGCCCACTTTCACCCAGAAAAAAAGTTTCATTTGATCAATAAATAGTTTAACACTTAAATATCAAACTGACTAAAGAGGTTATCTGGAGTGGATAATTATGATGAAATTATGAAACGTCTCGACGAACAAACAGCTGTGGAACTTGAGTTGCATGTCAAATGAGCGAAGTGGTTCAAATTGACGAGTTTTTTCCCTCTTTTTTTTTTTTGGACAAGCTGGAGTCATACCGGAAAAAGGCCCCCGGCTCATTGCCAGCCTCCATCTGTAAAATTTGCTGCCAAATTGCTAGAAACACGTAAGAGGTTATACACAATAGCTAGTTCATGATTTTTTTTTACTTCAAATGAAAGCTTTTTCTTTGCTTATCAGTTGTTAAAAATGTCGTGGTTAGCACTGCGGAACTAGTAATAGGCGACAAGAGAAATCTGGAGTCTTGTTGAAAGTTCATAGTCGGGGGATGAAACCTTAGTGTGGAACGAGTGCACTGACTAGTATTTCAATGCGGTGCTGTTTATTCCAAGGTACCATTACAGCGGCCTTGAAAGGAAAATACCAGAAAAAGTCCCCTTGTCTCAAAAGTTCAATGGGAAACAGTGGCAAATGAATAAGGCTTGGTTGTTGTCGCCGCTCTCTCGAGTCCGGTCACGTTCCTCCCTAAGAAGTGCTTCCGTTGGAGAAGCGCGACGTTCTTATAAATGTAAACGTCCTTTTTCAAACGAGGACGGCACGAAGGTTTTAAGGCAAGAAAGGATCTCTATTACAAGAATAAACGCTCGGACCTTGAGGAAAAAGACCGACTGCAAGCAGTGTTGACTGAGCACGCCACATGCGTCAGCTGACAGGGACATGTAAAGGGTATCATTCCGGAGCTAAAGTTATGTGGCGATTTTGTAGTAGATGAAACTCTAGACTCGAAAGAAAGAAGTCGAGTGTTTTCATTTAGTATTGTTTAGCATACTGCGTGTGTTGCATGTGGTCGAATGTATCTGCCTATATTTAATTTGACTGAAATTGTGTAACCATTCCAATCGAACTCCGAGAGTTGAGCAGTACTTTAACATGGAAGTGTTTCTGTTGCGTGTCCCTTCAAGCCACTACGAGTTGGTTCTAATTTGCTATTTTTTATGCTTTGAATGAAGCCGTAGTATGTGACCATTTAAATTAAGGATATCAGTACTTTTATGCCACGGTGAAGTTTTGAATTTATGGATAAACTCCTAGTGTGTGGCCTTTGAAATGAAAGCCATTGATCAGTCCACTTTCACGTGGTGCTATTTAATTTTCAATATCACTGGGGACGGCTTCTTTCTTCTATTTAACTTGTTTATGTACTTTAAAGACTTCCGTATATTATGATACGATGTTTCCTAAGTAATTGTTGTTTTTCAGTGATAAATTGCTTGTAATTGACTCATCTATTTTCGCGACCAGAATAGACCATGTTTAAGCTTTGAAAAACATCTCTTATCGTCTTTGTTTGGAGGATCTAGATGAAGATGCTGGAGTCTTAGTTCAGTTATATTTCAGCCCATTACTCAGCGAGTAGATCGCAGATCAGTCAACTGCCAGTTAAAAAAACGGATCATTTCTTAGATGACAATTTAAATTTTGACAAATTCTTAGCATGCTCAGCTTTCATTAAGCCCATCTGGACCCTCTGTTTTTAATTAGCTTCGTAAGAGATATATCTAGCATTACTGATGTCACCAACTGTAAATTAATGATAACGTGTCTTAAAAGCTTCAAACGGTTCAAGGTGACACTCTCTACGGGATTACCGCTTCCTTCTCGACACGCCCACCTACCGCCTTGCACAGAAACCCTTGCTTCGAACATTGCTGTTAGGATCGTCTCTTGCCTACAAAAAGAACGATTCTTTAACAAATCCTTTTGTTATGCATACGCTGTGTTAACAGCATCTTGTCCTATTCAAACTGTAACGCATGCATAGACTTTCTCAAAGACCTTTTTTTTTGCAGCAAGTCTACTGCATGTGCAAGGCGGTCTAAACATGGCAACTTGTACTTGAGGCCTCACCATAAATTCCGAATCTCTAATTTTCTTTCGTTTTAAAATAAAATTATTCTATATTCTGGTTTTCTACTTAGGTTGATTAAAAAGCTCTTCATTTAGAACTGGAGAAGACCTACAAAAACATCTTTGGATAAATTTTTCCGATACTTACCTGAGACCCTCAGGATGTGAACCTCTTTCGGCATACTCTCGCCATGCAGATGTAATCTTTGGGGCATGACCTCCTATCGCAACCAGAATGTATTGAATGCGGTTTTATCCACGCAAGGATATATGTAAATATAATGACCTGTTTTGATGTCTACGTGCTCACTTACAAGGGATGAATTTCGTTACTACAGGATTTTTGGTTACTTACTTCCCAACATGTTGATCTAATTTAGTTACCCATCAAAACAAGGACGATTGAAACAGAGCTGCTTGTCACACCAGTGAGTCTGAAAATCGTACCGTTACTCTCCGTGGCTCCAAAAGCTGATGATTATCTTGACAGCGAAGGTAAATCGTTTCTTGTTCGACTAATCAAATGGAAAATCAAACGTCGTTGCAGCCGACTTTGCGAAGTAATGAGACCATTGTACGATCCAACTGGACATCAGTAAGTGCATCACCAACGACCATTTTCGTGGGAGAAACAATTACAGCTCAGTTTCAAATTCCTAAACTTGTTCTTTATGGAGTTATCTTGACGCTGAGCATTCTTGGTAACGCGGCAGTTGTTTACATTATCTTGCAGTCTCGGCGAAGAATTCGTAAGACATCTTATGTCCTTTTGGTCCTTAACTTGGCCATCTGTGATGCAATTACACCCATCATAAGCATTCCTATCGACTGGGTTTTTGAGGAATATGACTACAGGTGGACTCTTGGAGCAGTCCTGTGTAAACTTCTTTGGCCTCTTCAGACAATGTTCTCCACTTCGTCAGCGCTCACTTTAGCTATGATTTGTTTTGACAGATACCGCGCAGTTGTCCACCCTTTCAAGGCACGCAGGGTGACAAAAACGCATATCAAGCACTGTATCTTCGCGATTCACTTCACGTCGTGTATATTCGTAATACCTTACGTCGTTGTTCTGGATCTGAAAGGAGATGACTGCGATGAGCATTGGCCATCTCCTGTCACCAGTTACAGAAAAGCCTACACTTTGATTCTCTTTCTTGTACAATACGGGATACCCCTTACTTTGATGGTAACTCTGCATAGCTTAGCATTAAAAACTCTTTGTGGTCAATCTAAGCATCTTAGAGAAGGAAGCACACACTCGAAGGCGTCCGAATCGATATCAAGTATGCAATTCAGAATTTCCGCTAGGAAGAAGATGCAGAACATTCACGTTACTAAAATGTTTGTTATGATTGTCATGGTGTTTGCACTGAGTATGTTTCCCAACCAAGTCTTATGGCTTTGGGTAGATTTTGGCAATGGTGGCAAAAATGAATACTTTGTTATCATATCAGCAGTTTGCAGGTTGTTCACGTATTCGAACAGTGTTCTTAATCCTGTTATTTATGGCTTTTACAGCCGGGAGTTGCGCTCTAGCAAGGCAAAACTCACGAGTACTACTACTTCCGCGGGAAGGAACCCAGGCATACATTCTTCAGGTTTTAGATACGCAGAACATAGATCTGCACATGACGCAGATAAAGCAGATTTAGTAAATCGCGGACAGCCTGACACAAGACACGAGAGAGCGATTCATTGCAAATTCCCCGCTACAGGCGAGCAACGTCTTTTGCCAAAATCTCTCTTAGGGTCTATCAAAAATCATCCACTCGCATTAAAAAAGGATTGCCATAGGAATGAAGCTGCCCAAGGTCCCATGAAACCGATTGAAAACTGTACAATCGCCCAAAATGGTGTTCTGCGGAGTCCATTAAGCCCTCTGCATAACAGCGAGTCGGCAGAAGGGATGCAAAATGTGTTTTCCATTCCTGATTACACACAAAGGCATTTTGATAACATTCGTGAAAGCAACTGTTGAGTTAAAACTGGCCCCTTGATTCTTAGGCTTTTAAACGAAATTACATGTAATTGCCATGTCAATGACAACTAGCAAGATGGCAATGGACTAATGGATAATTTCTACTTTCAACAGCTAATCCTCGTTAGTCGCGTACTCGTCCGGGATGATAGAAACAACAACCACCAACGTGTTGCTAACGAAACCAACCTTTACCTGTATGCTATGTGGATCATGGATCAATAAATCTATTAAGGGAACGATATACTCAACTAAAGAATTCCACAAATAGAGGATATTACATGGTCCCTTGGAGATAGGAGATTTCTCTTCGAGTACGAAGAGAAATTTTGTATCTCCAAGCGGCCATGTTATGTTCTATTTATTACATAAACACCAATGAAATACCAAGCCTTTCGCTGCGAAAAGCGCGACTCATTATATAACCATAGCAATGGTGATCCTTTTACTCTGGAGATAACATGTTATTTTCACTTGTGGAGATATCATGTTTTCGCACATAAGCTCACCTGGTATTTCATTGATGTCTATATAATAAGAACTGTATTTAAGCGTCGAGTATTTAGCTGCAATAACTAATTGTAAACGCTACACCTAAGAACTTAGCTTTCAATGAAAAAAGTGTAATTCTACATAAATTATATGAAATATGTTTACAAATTAGTAATAATGCGTTAGGTAATGAACAGACAGCAGATTTTGAAATGTGTAAAATTTCAATCAAAATGGTAACAGGTCAACAGAAACAATAAACCTACAGTGTATAAATACGTGGTTACTACCATAACATTAACGCAACAGTAATATAACATAAAGTTTAAGAAAGCAACTTAATCAGATGAAGACATTCAGGTCTTCGATATTTCATGGCCACATTTCGACTAGTATTATTTTCTTTTTTTTTTTTTATCACAGTAGTCTCTTTATTGATTTGGCCTCCAGCACTTTCAAACTCGGTAAGGTCAAAGTATTTGATTATTTTTTTTTCCCGTTACTTCATATTTAATAAAGGTACTCAGAATATAAAGATAGTAGAAGGAGAATGAGGGATTAAAACAGATTTAAGAGTTATTCCTTATAAAAAAACTTAGGATGAGTAGTTGACCAATTTAAAGCTTTAGACAGAACCCAAATGAAACTGAAAGATATGAAGAAATATTTTATGTGTTGGTGATGGTTGTTTTTTTTTTATTTCTATATTTCTTTGTTTGTTGATTTATTTAAAAAACAGTTCCATGTACAAACTTTTCTTAGCATTCGGCCATTCAAATGAAACCTATAAACTACAAAAACAGTACCTTGATAGTGTGTTGCCTTGTATATTATTCTGCAGTTCAAAGTAGATTGTGATNACCGTTAGCCTTAAAAAAAAATGTTAACCAAAGGAAAAAAAAAAAAAATTGGCCACGAAAGTGAAGGTCTTAAGAACTCTTGTCAAGACTTTTGTGTCTTGTTTTACTATAGCAGTAAGCTATATTAGTCTACCAGTGTCATAATAATACCATCCCGGAATGGCCCTAAGACCTTAAACCTTTTTAAACTATGAAAGTTCATGTTTAACTTTTTAAAACGATGACAATTTATTTCTGCGATTTTTGTTAACCGTTAGGAAAATCAATTATCCGTTAGCCGTAAAAATAGCAACCACCCCATTGAGCAACTTAAAATAACCTTCCACATGCTGGTGACGCACACCACTTCTTGTTGCATTTGGATAGGATATCGACCTCGCTCAGTCCATTAACTGAACTGTCGGTCGCTCGTTAAAACTTCATAGCAATTACTTAAGTTCAAAAGGATTTCCTGAATATTTAAAAACGGAACAGATGCATCTTCTATCATTTCATGTGCAAAGATACAAGCAAATGAAAACCTTCTTTGTCGCTCTCTTGTATTATATTACACTGAGAGTGTGTGGTCAGGGTGTACTGATAACTCTCCGTATGGAAAGCAGATTTCAGGAAAAGGTTAAGTGTAGATTGTACTCGAGATTAGTTAGCTTAATTAAAATCAAGAGTCATTCTTGAAACGTGTCCCAAGAATTTTCCATGTGAAAGCTCTACAAGGCCTAAAATGACTTTCCAGAGAAAAACATCATGTAAAAGAAACTTATAATGCGTCGCTTATTAAGTTTAGTTTAAAATTCTAAAATTGAAGTATACATATATTTGAAAACTTCATTGATATTCAGATATCTGGGTCATCTCTATCAAGTTTGTTCTTATTCTGGTTATTTCTTTTCCCCGAAGATAGACAGGTTTTGCAGGGTCCGGGATGATGGACAACAAGTTAAATCAACTATGTAAAAATCTTTTTTTCCTTAACGTGCAGACTCCTCGTCATAAGTTCATACATTAAAGTAAAAGAACAAAACATATTTCTGCTGCACGAGGTAACATATTTACGATGCCAATTTTACTTAGTCAACTTGGCTTTTTTTTAAATAGAATCGACTGAAGAAGACACGAGGCGTCTGGGAGCTGTCTTACTTTTTGTTTTTGTGGTCAAGTAAAGGCCCTTGATGAGTAGGTCTGTGCTGGGAAAACAAACTGATCGTGCTGGTCCAATTTCACTGAAGGCTGACCTCGGGTCTTTGATCAGATCCGACAGTCAATTTCAAGGGTTCCTGCTCACGTGTGAGAAAAAACAAACAAACGAATGAACAAAAGTGCAAAGCAAAAAATAAACCAAACAGAACAAGGTACGTGAGCAGTTCTGGCGAAAAAGTCAATGTTCCGAAAGAAGAGAGTGGCGCCCACTTTCACCCAGAAAAAAAGTTTCATTTGATCAATAAATAGTTTAACACTTAAATATCAAACTGACTAAAGAGGTTATCTGGAGTGGATAATTATGATGAAATTATGAAACGTCTCGACGAACAAACAGCTGTGGAACTTGAGTTGCATGTCAAATGAGCGAAGTGGTTCAAATTGACGAGTTTTTTCCCTCTTTTTTTTTTTTGGACAAGCTGGAGTCATACCGGAAAAAGGCCCCCGGCTCATTGCCAGCCTCCATCTGTAAAATTTGCTGCCAAATTGCTAGAAACACGTAAGAGGTTATACACAATAGCTAGTTCATGATTTTTTTTTACTTCAAATGAAAGCTTTTTCTTTGCTTATCAGTTGTTAAAAATGTCGTGGTTAGCACTGCGGAACTAGTAATAGGCGACAAGAGAAATCTGGAGTCTTGTTGAAAGTTCATAGTCGGGGGATGAAACCTTAGTGTGGAACGAGTGCACTGACTAGTATTTCAATGCGGTGCTGTTTATTCCAAGGTACCATTACAGCGGCCTTGAAAGGAAAATACCAGAAAAAGTCCCCTTGTCTCAAAAGTTCAATGGGAAACAGTGGCAAATGAATAAGGCTTGGTTGTTGTCGCCGCTCTCTCGAGTCCGGTCACGTTCCTCCCTAAGAAGTGCTTCCGTTGGAGAAGCGCGACGTTCTTATAAATGTAAACGTCCTTTTTCAAACGAGGACGGCACGAAGGTTTTAAGGCAAGAAAGGATCTCTATTACAAGAATAAACGCTCGGACCTTGAGGAAAAAGACCGACTGCAAGCAGTGTTGACTGAGCACGCCACATGCGTCAGCTGACAGGGACATGTAAAGGGTATCATTCCGGAGCTAAAGTTATGTGGCGATTTTGTAGTAGATGAAACTCTAGACTCGAAAGAAAGAAGTCGAGTGTTTTCATTTAGTATTGTTTAGCATACTGCGTGTGTTGCATGTGGTCGAATGTATCTGCCTATATTTAATTTGACTGAAATTGTGTAACCATTCCAATCGAACTCCGAGAGTTGAGCAGTACTTTAACATGGAAGTGTTTCTGTTGCGTGTCCCTTCAAGCCACTACGAGTTGGTTCTAATTTGCTATTTTTTATGCTTTGAATGAAGCCGTAGTATGTGACCATTTAAATTAAGGATATCAGTACTTTTATGCCACGGTGAAGTTTTGAATTTATGGATAAACTCCTAGTGTGTGGCCTTTGAAATGAAAGCCATTGATCAGTCCACTTTCACGTGGTGCTATTTAATTTTCAATATCACTGGGGACGGCTTCTTTCTTCTATTTAACTTGTTTATGTACTTTAAAGACTTCCGTATATTATGATACGATGTTTCCTAAGTAATTGTTGTTTTTCAGTGATAAATTGCTTGTAATTGACTCATCTATTTTCGCGACCAGAATAGACCATGTTTAAGCTTTGAAAAACATCTCTTATCGTCTTTGTTTGGAGGATCTAGATGAAGATGCTGGAGTCTTAGTTCAGTTATATTTCAGCCCATTACTCAGCGAGTAGATCGCAGATCAGTCAACTGCCAGTTAAAAAAACGGATCATTTCTTAGATGACAATTTAAATTTTGACAAATTCTTAGCATGCTCAGCTTTCATTAAGCCCATCTGGACCCTCTGTTTTTAATTAGCTTCGTAAGAGATATATCTAGCATTACTGATGTCACCAACTGTAAATTAATGATAACGTGTCTTAAAAGCTTCAAACGGTTCAAGGTGACACTCTCTACGGGATTACCGCTTCCTTCTCGACACGCCCACCTACCGCCTTGCACAGAAACCCTTGCTTCGAACATTGCTGTTAGGATCGTCTCTTGCCTACAAAAAGAACGATTCTTTAACAAATCCTTTTGTTATGCATACGCTGTGTTAACAGCATCTTGTCCTATTCAAACTGTAACGCATGCATAGACTTTCTCAAAGACCTTTTTTTTTGCAGCAAGTCTACTGCATGTGCAAGGCGGTCTAAACATGGCAACTTGTACTTGAGGCCTCACCATAAATTCCGAATCTCTAATTTTCTTTCGTTTTAAAATAAAATTATTCTATATTCTGGTTTTCTACTTAGGTTGATTAAAAAGCTCTTCATTTAGAACTGGAGAAGACCTACAAAAACATCTTTGGATAAATTTTTCCGATACTTACCTGAGACCCTCAGGATGTGAACCTCTTTCGGCATACTCTCGCCATGCAGATGTAATCTTTGGGGCATGACCTCCTATCGCAACCAGAATGTATTGAATGCGGTTTTATCCACGCAAGGATATATGTAAATATAATGACCTGTTTTGATGTCTACGTGCTCACTTACAAGGGATGAATTTCGTTACTACAGGATTTTTGGTTACTTACTTCCCAACATGTTGATCTAATTTAGTTACCCATCAAAACAAGGACGATTGAAACAGAGCTGCTTGTCACACCAGTGAGTCTGAAAATCGTACCGTTACTCTCCGTGGCTCCAAAAGCTGATGATTATCTTGACAGCGAAGGTAAATCGTTTCTTGTTCGACTAATCAAATGGAAAATCAAACGTCGTTGCAGCCGACTTTGCGAAGTAATGAGACCATTGTACGATCCAACTGGACATCAGTAAGTGCATCACCAACGACCATTTTCGTGGGAGAAACAATTACAGCTCAGTTTCAAATTCCTAAACTTGTTCTTTATGGAGTTATCTTGACGCTGAGCATTCTTGGTAACGCGGCAGTTGTTTACATTATCTTGCAGTCTCGGCGAAGAATTCGTAAGACATCTTATGTCCTTTTGGTCCTTAACTTGGCCATCTGTGATGCAATTACACCCATCATAAGCATTCCTATCGACTGGGTTTTTGAGGAATATGACTACAGGTGGACTCTTGGAGCAGTCCTGTGTAAACTTCTTTGGCCTCTTCAGACAATGTTCTCCACTTCGTCAGCGCTCACTTTAGCTATGATTTGTTTTGACAGATACCGCGCAGTTGTCCACCCTTTCAAGGCACGCAGGGTGACAAAAACGCATATCAAGCACTGTATCTTCGCGATTCACTTCACGTCGTGTATATTCGTAATACCTTACGTCGTTGTTCTGGATCTGAAAGGAGATGACTGCGATGAGCATTGGCCATCTCCTGTCACCAGTTACAGAAAAGCCTACACTTTGATTCTCTTTCTTGTACAATACGGGATACCCCTTACTTTGATGGTAACTCTGCATAGCTTAGCATTAAAAACTCTTTGTGGTCAATCTAAGCATCTTAGAGAAGGAAGCACACACTCGAAGGCGTCCGAATCGATATCAAGTATGCAATTCAGAATTTCCGCTAGGAAGAAGATGCAGAACATTCACGTTACTAAAATGTTTGTTATGATTGTCATGGTGTTTGCACTGAGTATGTTTCCCAACCAAGTCTTATGGCTTTGGGTAGATTTTGGCAATGGTGGCAAAAATGAATACTTTGTTATCATATCAGCAGTTTGCAGGTTGTTCACGTATTCGAACAGTGTTCTTAATCCTGTTATTTATGGCTTTTACAGCCGGGAGTTGCGCTCTAGCAAGGCAAAACTCACGAGTACTACTACTTCCGCGGGAAGGAACCCAGGCATACATTCTTCAGGTTTTAGATACGCAGAACATAGATCTGCACATGACGCAGATAAAGCAGATTTAGTAAATCGCGGACAGCCTGACACAAGACACGAGAGAGCGATTCATTGCAAATTCCCCGCTACAGGCGAGCAACGTCTTTTGCCAAAATCTCTCTTAGGGTCTATCAAAAATCATCCACTCGCATTAAAAAAGGATTGCCATAGGAATGAAGCTGCCCAAGGTCCCATGAAACCGATTGAAAACTGTACAATCGCCCAAAATGGTGTTCTGCGGAGTCCATTAAGCCCTCTGCATAACAGCGAGTCGGCAGAAGGGATGCAAAATGTGTTTTCCATTCCTGATTACACACAAAGGCATTTTGATAACATTCGTGAAAGCAACTGTTGAGTTAAAACTGGCCCCTTGATTCTTAGGCTTTTAAACGAAATTACATGTAATTGCCATGTCAATGACAACTAGCAAGATGGCAATGGACTAATGGATAATTTCTACTTTCAACAGCTAATCCTCGTTAGTCGCGTACTCGTCCGGGATGATAGAAACAACAACCACCAACGTGTTGCTAACGAAACCAACCTTTACCTGTATGCTATGTGGATCATGGATCAATAAATCTATTAAGGGAACGATATACTCAACTAAAGAATTCCACAAATAGAGGATATTACATGGTCCCTTGGAGATAGGAGATTTCTCTTCGAGTACGAAGAGAAATTTTGTATCTCCAAGCGGCCATGTTATGTTCTATTTATTACATAAACACCAATGAAATACCAAGCCTTTCGCTGCGAAAAGCGCGACTCATTATATAACCATAGCAATGGTGATCCTTTTACTGTGGAGATAACATGTTATTTTCACTTGTGGAGATATCATGTTTTCGCGCATAAGCTCACCTGGTATTTCATTGATGTATAATAAGAACTGTATTTAAGCGTCGAGTATTTAGCTGTAATAACTAATTGTAAACGCTACACCTAAGAACTTAGCTTTCAATGAAAAAAGTGTAATTCTACATACATGTAAATTATATGAAAAATGTTTACAAATTACTAATAATGCGTTAGGTAATGAACAGACAGCCGATTTCGAAATGTATAAAATTTCAATCAAAATGGTAACAGGTCAACAGAAACAATAAACCTACAGTGTATAAATACGTGGTTACTACCATAACATTAACACAACAGTAATATAACATAAAGTTTAAGAAAGCAAATTAATCAGATGAAGACATTCAGGTCTTCGATATTTCATGGCCACATTTCGACAAGTATTTTCTTTTTTTTTTTTATCACAGTAGTCTCTTTATTGATTTGGCCTTCAGCACTTTCAAACTCGGTAAGGTCGAAGTATTTGATTATTTTTTTTTTCTCGTTACTTCATATTTAATAAAGGTACTCAGAATATAAAGATAGAAGAAGGAGAATGAGGGATTAAAGCAGATTTAAGAGTTAGTCCTTATAAAAAACTCAGGATCAGTAGTTGACCAATTTAAAGCTTTAGACAGAACCCAAATGAAACTGAAAGATATGAAGAAATATTTTTAGTACTTTCATGTGATACCGTTTATTAATGATGCTGTACAAGGTGGTTGTAACTTTTAAGCTTGAGAATGAAATCCTAGTGTGTGACCATTCAAATGAAGGCCATTGAGCAGTACTTTCATGTGGTCCTGTTTACTGTGCTGTACAAGTTAGCTAGTTCTGACTTTTAAATAAGTCTGTGGACGAAGCCCTAGTCACTGACCGTTGTCACCAATTAATATCGAGCACTACTTTCATATGATACTGCCTAGTGTGCAAAGTGTGTGACCATTCAGACGAAATTTACTGAGCAGTACTTTTATGTGATACTGTATTATTTTTCCCAAAATTTAATCTGGGATTTTTCCAGTCCTTAGGGATTTAACCGAAGGGCAAAAGGATCAGCGTCAACTAATACTCATGTTTTTCAAGATATTAGGAATTTTTGAGGTGACGTTCGCAACCACAATGTCTGATAACGCCCAAAGATCCTCAGCGAGCTTGACAAAAAAAATCTTCAAGAATTCAACACCATTTATCTTTGTGCTCGATTACATTATTCATCCTCGCGTACCAGGGTTTCAGCAATACTGTTCCACGAATCAAGTCATTATTGTTGTTGTTTTATTTTCGTTAAAGCCAGGAAAGATTCAGGCTACCACAACGTAAGCTAAACACACCGAAGATAACACCGTTGTTGGTCTAGCTTGATTTGTCATGTATGGTAAACTTGCTTCTTTAAACGGCATGTGTTTTGGTTTTTCTGTGGCTTCGTTATTAGTTTCAGCCCGAGGCGATTAGGTGAAGTAGCAAACTCTGCAGATAAGTTCAATCTTAAAAATAGTTCCTCTGGTGCCCGATTGAACCACTTGTTCAATTCCCGTTTAAAATCAATCAATTCCTCGTGTATTATTTCGGTCAATCGACACCTTTGCTGACAATCTGAAAATTACAGGAGTAAAGGTTATTTACTTATTTTTTTAGCATAAGGCAGATTTAAATTTAAGTGGTCAGTAGTGATTTCCAGTCGGCTCACAGAATGTTGCCTTGCATGCCTACCAAATTTTGGACTATGCGTGGTGCGTATTAACGAAGTTATTTTACACGTTATTTCTTTTACGTTAACAGATTCAAAGCACGAAGAAGGGCAATAAAAACCGATTAAGAGGTCGTGAGAAAATGGAATTACCTCGTGCAATTATTGCAAAATAACAGAAATAAGGCAGAATTAGATTTCAATATATCTCTCTTAAAAATAGGTGGCCAAACAGACCAGGAAAAGTAACAATTGTTTGGATCGGAAAAGGGTTGAGCAAATGCAGGATTCATGGGACATTAATTTAAGTTTACTTTACTTTGAGGTGTGTTTACTATATTTTGGACATTAAAACGTTTTGGTCAAGCCAAGTAGTTCATTTTGCCAGCTTGATAAAATGCTCATCTATAGTAGATTTGCTCCTAAAATCTATCTTGTCTACATCCATTTACACACCTAAACCGGGTTGTTCGAAAACCGGGCTAACGCTAACCCAGGATTAAAAGTTACCGAAGTATTCTTTTTTCTTGCACAAAATACTTTTCACCGCTTATGTTTGGTGTTTGAGATTATTCCAGCTCAAAACTGTATAGGACAAACAATGTAAACAGAAAATTTCACCGAAAAGTTACAAACTTGAAAGCAAAATTCCCGCTAATCCTGCTTTAGCTTAATCGGCTCCTGAATAACACAGCCCTGTGTCAGCGCAGAGTAAACCAATTCGTCTTCTACATGTCCGACATTACTCAGTAGATTCTGAGTGAAAAATTATTATTATTATTTTAAAATAACTATTAGACCCTGAGAAAACACTAATGAGAGCTAAATGGGTCGAAGGCACTTGTTATTTAAGAGGTTTTTTTTTTTTTCATCGTACCTATCTCCCACGAGCACGCGACCGGATGTCTGATACGTACAATTTCCCACCGCTTGAAATATTATTTTCTCTTCATAAATGCTCACAAAATCTTACAGCGTGTCGGTTGCTTGTCTGTAAAAATTGATTTGCAATAAACCTATAGTTACAACCAGCCTCCTTTCATTCTGTTCACAACAGCCGTCTGCCTGGCGTGAATCGCAATTGTTTACCGGGACACAATTGTGTATGTCTCACGCAAACGTAAATACAACTTTTTTTTTGAGTTATTTTTACCTGTAAAAAGTACAATCTTCTTAACAGTCATTTTATTTGTAATTTGAAATTAAAAAAAAGCTTATTTCTCTGGTGAAAGAACTAGAACATAGCCTTAAAAGGAAATTTGAGCTTGTTATGTTCAGTTAATGCATGAAAGTAAAATACGCCATGGGTGAAATCAACCTTTATGTTGACACTGATATATGCAGTGATAGCGCCATGGAGAGAGAGGAAGACTTTCTTTACTATTATTATTGATCATGTGTCTAAATGCCTCGCTTGTGAATTTCAAGCTAAATCTCACGCAAACACGCAAACCAAAAAGCTCTCAAACGATATCTTACCAATTTATTAAAATATAAAAATCTCACCAATCGAGGC